AAAAATAAAACTCAAAACTACATTGGATAATGCAGAATGTTGGATGAGCGAAGGTTGGATAAGCGAGACTCTGCTATATTTATATTCCACTCTTCTCACCCCAGAGAGGACTCATGGCGGATCACAAAACATACATATGCGGCAAACTTTCAGTGCTGTTTTATACACAACTAGACAGACAATTATACATAGATAAGAGGTGTGTATCTTGGCTTTCCCCATCGTTCAGCATCTTGGAAGTTGTTGTGCTCGGTTCTGACCCCGGGGGTGGGTGTGACGCTCCATCTCCCTGCTGAAGAGCTAGTTCGTAATTTTCTTCTTACTTTTGGATTGAAGCATCGGCATTTCTTCTGGGTTCCTCAGAACACTTCCCCACTTTTTATGAGCAGTATCTATTTATCTAATCACATTTTTGGTATCGGACCGCTAGGTAGGCAGAAGCTGGGCTAAAGGCCAAGAGCTCACCCTTACCTGGCTTCGCACTGGCAGCCTTTCGACTGACAAGATTGACTACAGTTGGTGTTTGACCTGCTGTGCTAAAGCTGGCCCTTGGGCTTTAGGAGCTGTAATATCCAGAAAATAAAATTTAAATTCCATTAGCAACTTTAAAACAGCTCCCTAAGAAATCCATGGTTATCAGTGTCTTTATTAGGTAAGGAATATTGAATCTCTGAAGAAACCTCTGTATTAGAGGAAAGATGGCTTCGAGATAGGGAAATGCTGGAAAAGAAATGGGACAGTTGTGGAGAGGAACTGAATAAGGTGTTGAGTACCTGTGGATGAATAATATAGTTCAGGTGTTAATGTGTGTGATCTAATTGCATGATAATGTAGATCCAATTGTGTAAATGTTTATGTTGGTCTTTTTTTACAACTGGGTCTGTCCATTCCTATTAACTTTTGATAGCATCAGAACACACTTATCACAGTGAACCCATTGAACGACATATCCACTGGTCCACATAAGGATCACCTGGAGACACAAGTACCGGATCCAGAGAGGGATCTTCAATGAGTGACAAGATCAAAAGGGTTGGAAGTGCCAGCCTGGAGTGAGGATCCATTATGCCCACTCTCAAAGGGTTAGAATGCAATTCTCTGTGTACTTTACTCTGAGGTAGGCTCCTTAGAACTTGGCATTTACTTCTGTTGTTGTTGAACCTGACCCTATGAAAGCCATGCCTATGTCACTTAAAGGTGCATGCAAAAGCTATTTAGCGTCACACACATAATACATAAGCATCTTTCTAGGTGAAACCTGCCGTGCCACCTCTGAGCTTTGTTTCAGATGGTTACATCAGACATTAGGCTTTGCCTTCTCAAACTGCCTGCTGCCAGGCTGCTTTTTTAGAATGACCTAATCTCTCCTTTTCGAAATACATTGTACAAGTAGGACTTGAAATGCAAACTGGGGTGATGGAGAAGATTCTAGGTCGGGATTTCTAAGCAATGTGGTGATTGACAGTGTTTTGAACTCCCCAGGTGATAGAAGAAGAAAAAAGACTCTACGGGCAGTCTTCAAGTTACGAACAATATTGGTTTGTTCTTAAGTTGTTTGTATGTAAGTCAGAACAGATATATTTTAAAGTGTAACTCCAGATAGATAGATAGATAGATAGATAGATAGATAGATAGATAGATAGATAGATCAATAGGCAGGCAGACAGACAACCTTTGGATAGCATAGGGAAGGATTAACACTTGTGTGGTGTTTGTTTTGCTGTGTGTGCCCCTGTTCAGAAGATTTTACCGCACTTAATGTCCCTGTGATCATTTCAGAAACAAAGATTGGTGATAAAGCTTCAGTTGAGACACCTTTTTGCTATGATAACTCTTCCATGAGTAAATTTCCCTTCAAAGGGGTAGATTTTGTTGGAGCATGTAAAAATCAGTTGATGTTGACGGAAAAATGCAAAGTGTGAAGGTGATTGGTTAGGATGCTAGCCGAGCCTGGGAGCTTTGGCAACAGTTACATGTGCAGGGAGCTTGCCAAGAAAATATATTAGTTTATTTTCTGCTTCTGGGCTGCTGGAAGGAGACTCTTCACATAAACACCTAAGTACCATTTGAATCTCTCTCAAAGGACATTGTGTGAGTAAAAGCAACTGTTCAAATGTCTCTATATATGTTGCTCTGCATAACAAAGAAATAAACACCTTATTCTTTACTGATCATCAGTGTGGCATATATGGAGCCCCCGGTGGCGCAGTGGGTTAAACCCCTGTGCCGGCTGGACTGAAGACCGACAGGTCGCAGGTTCGAATCCGGGGAGAGGCGGATGAGCTCCCTCTATCAACTCCAGCTCCTCATGCGGGGACATGAGAGAAGCCTCCCACAAGGATGATAAAAACATCAAATCATCCGGGCGTCCCCTGGGCAACGTCCTTGCAGACGGCCAATTCTCTTACACCAGAAGCAACTTACAGTTTCTCAAGTTGCTCTTGACATGACCAAAAAAAAGTGTGGCATATCTTTTCTCTAGCAAGACAGTGTGTGGATTGATAAAGGCATGAATTATATGTGATTTTCATTCCACCACAGATTTCTCTTCCTGCTGTCTCTGCCCCATTCATAACTATGAGTAATTTGTAAGTTAGGTGTTTATACCTCAGAGACTGCTTGTATACTGAAAAGTACTGCAATCTACATTTTTGTAAGGCAGTGGTCCTTAAACTTTTCTTCACCACAAACCCCCTTTTAAATATCTTTGGTGGTTGTGGACCCCAAAGACTTAAGGCAGTAGACTGCATCAAAATAATTATTTTGATTTTCTGATAAAGGTCCTTCAAATTAAGAGAGGATGGGATATAAGGATATAATAATAGGAGTATGTGCACATACTCCTATTATACGCCTAATACAAATCTAAAATAATAGTTTCCACACTAATAATAGTTAAGAATTGAATTCTTCGTGGATCTCTTGTGATGTCATCACGGAACCCCAGAGGTCCCTAGACCCCAGGCTGAGAGCCACGGTTAGAAGGGATTTTGTCTAGACTTGAAATATCTTCAGAATCCTGCTTCCAAATTAATACTGTTGCAATTAAAAAGACGCCTGGAGCTCCACTTTGGAAGCTTTCCCCAAAACTCCCTCAAAGGCATTTTAATAATTCTTTTAATGTTCTGTGTTTTTTTATTTTGCATTGTTCTTTACTGGTGAGATTGCTGGCTCATCATTAATGAGCTGCAATTCCATCTGTTTACGACAATTGGAATGTATTTTCAGTATGATAGTCCCATTGAGTTGATTTAGGCTTCCTCCCAGGTGAGTTTAGGATTGCACATCCGTTCTCTTATAAAATTATTTAGACTATAGTATTATTCAGAATAGAGACCTGAATCTGAAGTCATTTTCAAAAAAAGGTAAAGGTAAAGGTTTCCCCTGACATTAAGTCTAGTTGTGTACAACTCTGGGGGGTGGTGTTCATCTCCATTTCTAACCCAAAGAGCTGGCATTGTCCATAGACATCTCCAAGGTCATGTGGCCAGCATGACTGCATGGAGCACCGTTAACTTACCGCAGAAGCAGTACCTATTGATCTGCTCACATTTGCATGTTTTTGAACTGCTAGGTTGGCAGAAGCTGGGCCTAACAGCAGGAGCTCACCCCACTCCCCGGATTTGAACCACCAACCTTTCAGTCAGCAAGTTCAGCAGCTCATAGGTTTAATCCACTATGCCACTAGGTGACCCTTTTAAATACAGAATGCTTTAAGTCAGAGACCTCTAAACATTGTCAGTCCCATAGCATTAATCCTTTTTTTTTCCTTCTTAAGGGATGGCTATAGTCCCTCCTTTTAAAATAACTTCTGAGGTCCAGAAGCTGAGGTTGCCAACATATCTCAAGGCAGGACTGTAGAATGTGTTGCCCTATAGCTATTGCTGGGCTGCAACTAGCCATCAGGGCCAGTGGTTTGCCTACTCTGGAATATGCAACATATAATTTTCCTTCTTTAGGGGTCCCTTTCCAATTTATGATATTGCATCTGTCATATACATGTGTGTGTGTGTGTGTGTGTGTGTGTGTGTGTGAATGGCTGGCTGGCCCTTTGTCAGGAGGGCTTTGATTATGTTTTCTTGCCCTGGTGAAGGGAGTTGGACTGGATGGCCTAAAGGCAACATTTCTCAACCTGCGAAGTCAAGATCTGGGGGGGGGGGGGGGTCACCAGGGTGGTGTCAGAAGAGTCACCAAAGACCACCAGAAAACACAGTATTTTCTGTTGGTCATGGGGGTTCTGTGTGGGAAGTTTGTCCCAATTCTGTCGTTGGTGGGGTTCAGAATGCTCCCTGATTATAAATGAACTATAAATCCCAGTAACTACAACTCCCAAATGTCAAGGTCTATTTTCCCCAAATTCCATCTGTGTTTATATTTGGGCATATTGAGTATTTGTGCCAAGTTTGATCCAGATCCATCATTGTTTGATTCCACAGTGCTCTCTAGATGTAGGTGAACTACAACTCCAAAACTCAAGGTCAATGTCCATCAAACCCTTCTAGTGTTTTGTGTTGGTCATGGGAGTCCTGTGTGCCAAGTTTGGTTCAATTCCATTGTTGGTGGAGTTCAGAATGCTCTTTGATTGTAGGTGAACTATAAATCCCAGCAACTACAACTCCCAAATGACAAAATCATAATGTTTTGAGTGATGGTCACTCCTTGTGTTGTGAGACGTTTTGTTGCCTAATTTGGTGTGATTTCGTTCATTGGTTCTTTTGTTTTTAAGGTACTCATTACGCACAGAGCATTTATAGATAGATATAGATAGATAGATAGATAGATAGATAGATAGATAGATAGATAGATAGATAGATAGATAGAGATATATAGAAGTAAAACCAGTAAACATTTTAAAAGACTATTTTAGAAAGTAGCTTGATACTGAGGACAGATATTATGGAACTAGATGGATCATTTGTATGGTAAGGAAATGCATGTTATTTTCTCTCTTCAGCATTATATCCCTTGTATTTATTAACAAATAACAACTTCTTTTTCAGAAAAAGTAGCTATCAAGATCTTGGATAAAACGAAATTAGACCAGAAGACACAGCGACTGCTCTCCCAGGAGATATCCAGCATGGAGAAGTTATACCACCCCAACATCATCCGGCTTTACGAGGTCATGGAGACGCTCTCAAAACTGCACCTTGTGATGGAATATGCCAGTGGAGGGGAACTGTTCGCTAAGATCAGCATGGAAGGAAAGTTGTCAGAAGCGGAGAGCAAGCACATCTTCTCCCAGATTTTGTCTGCTGTTAAACACATGGTAAGTTTATTGTGTTAGTCTCTCCAGCAGTATTTTTTCTCAGTCTTTCTTTAAGCTGACCAGCTATTGGGTTGCTGAAAGTTTTCTGGGCTATATGGCTATGTTCCTGAAGCATTCTCTCCTGACGTTTCTCCCACATTTGTGGCAGGCATCCTCTGAGGTTGTGATGTCTGTTAGAAACTTGGCAAGTGAGGTTTATATGTCTGTGGAATGTCCAGGGTGGGAGAAAACTCCTGCCTGCTTGGGGCAAGTGTGAATATTGCATCTGGCCACCTAGATTAGCATTGAATGGCCTTGCAGCTGCAAGATCAAGAACAAGCCACGAGAGTAAAGGCAAAGATCCACCCAGAGGAAAAGTGAAGGGAACCACTGACTGCATAAGGAAGCTGATGAAGAAACACAACATACAAACTATCTATAGATCCACTAAGAAAATTCAACAAATGCTACATTCAGCAAAGGACAAGAGGGATCCTCTCACCTCTGCAGGAGTCTACCGTATACCTTGGAGTTGTGGACAAGTCTACATAGATACCACCAAATGCAACAATGCCCAAACCAAATCAAGGAACATGAAAGGTACTGCAGACTAATTCAGACTGAGAAGTCAGCCATAGCAGAGCACCTGATGAACCAACCTGGACACGGCGTATTATTTGAGAACACAGAAATGCTGGACCACTTCTATCAACCACCATGTCAGACTACACAGAGAAGCCATTGAAATCCACAAGCATGGGGACAATTTCAACAGAAACCATAAAAACCAACAAAATCTGGCTACCAGTATTATTTATTTACTTTATTTACTGTCCTGATTTTGGAGGTTTTTTTGCCTCCAAAATCAGGACAGTAAATGAAGAGCAAGGGGGGAATTCCAGACATGAAACAATCAAGGCCAGCTAACACCTCCTAATGAAGAATCCCCCCAGGCAGGCAGACAGTCTTTGAAGCTGCAAGGCCATTCAGTGCTAATCAAGGTGGCCAACTGCAACATTCACACCTTCCTCAAGCAGACAAGAGTTCTTTTTTCCATGCTGGACATTCCACAGATATATTAACCCCACTTGCCTAGTTTCTAATAGACCTCACAACCCCTGGGAATACCTGCAATAGATGTGGGTGAAACAGCAAAGGAAAATGCTTCTGGAACTTGGCCATGCAGCCTGGAAAACTCACAGCAGCCCAGTGATTCTGGCCATGAAAGCCTTTGACAATACATTGTCCAGATATTGTTGGACTCAAATTCCCATCAACCCCAGCCAATCAGGAGGGATACTGGATGTAGTCCTTTAACAAAATTTACAGAAATAATAAATAGAGTATGGAAGACTAGCTTTCTTCATTGCACTTACGTTTTTTCGCATGATTGTGTCAATAGTTCTTTCCAAGTAATATTAGCATTCGGTATAACTGGGGTTGTAATTGAAGACAGCTCATTAGCATCTCTTTGCCTAAGAACGAAGTATTGTAAAGAGACAAAGCAGAAGCCATCTAAAGTCTTGTTTTTTTCCTCTTTTTATTTTGCTCTGCAGCATGACAGCAACATAATTCACCGGGACCTGAAAGCCGAAAATGTGTTTTATACCAGTAACACCTGTGTGAAAGTGGGAGATTTTGGATTCAGCACGATAAGTAAAAAAGAGGAAACCTTGAACACTTTCTGTGGCTCCCCTCCTTACGCCGCCCCAGAACTTTTCAGGGACGAGAGCTACCTTGGGGTTTATGTGGACATTTGGGCGCTGGGGATTCTCCTCTATTTCATGACAACTGGAGTCATGCCCTTTCGAGCAGACACAGTGGCCAAACTGAAGAAGTGCATTCTTGAAGGGACGTATATCTTACCCTCGTTCCTTTCCGAACCTTGCCAGAAGCTGATTCGAGGAATCCTTCAGTCAATCCCGTCCGAACGCTACTCCATTGAGTACATCATGAGCAGCGAATGGATGAAAGGAGTGCAGTATCCAAAGCCCATGGAACCATTCAAGCTGGATCCAAAATATTTGTCAGAAAGCGGCACGCTAAGACAGGAAGAAGCCGAGGTGAAAAAAGTCCTGATCAGTTTGGGAATCACAGAGGAGCATTTTCGGAATAACCATGGAAGAAACACTCACGGTTCAATAACTGGGATCTACAGAATTATTTTGCACAGAGTTCAGAAGAAATGGGCCATCGAGGCTGTGCCTATAATCAGCCAACCAGAACCCAAAGAGGAGGAAGAGTCAAAGAAGGCGCACCCTACCTACCAGGGACTAAAACATTCCTCAAAACTCTGCTTGATTTTATAAATTATGTGGCTGGCCTGGTCTGTTTCTTTGGTATGACTCAACTCTTGCCCTTAGCATTTTTTGTAATTTTGAAATAAAAATTTTAAAAATATAAGATTTAAGACTTTCTCATGTTTAATTCTTCTCACAGAGAGAAAAATCACCAAAACACTAATGGCCAATGGAAGTCCTTTTAAAAAATTAATTTTAGTTATTTGTTACCTTGCTGCAAAGATGTGCCAGCCTATGCTTATTTTCTCAGACATGTATTTATTTATCATATCAGAAGCGAACCGAGGCTACAATTGTAATGTATTTTTAAAAAAACACGAAGTTTAAAAACTTAGCCTTATATTAAATGTCCTTTGACAATGAGGTCACAAATAGTCGGAAGCAACTGAATGAATAAACAACAACCTTTGACCAGAAGTTGGCCACTTGGAGTGCCTCTTGTGTTGCTGTAAGTACACCATTGTGCACGTGGCAAGGCTCAGACTGCAGTGTTGTAGGTGGTCTCTGGTTTGCTCTTCTCCACATGTCTCATTAAGAGCCACATCCACTGTTTTAGCGTGGTAAGATGTGTTCCACACTGGGCATGCATATTCAGCAGCAGAGTAGCAAAGCGCAAGGGCAGATGTCTTTACTGTGTCTGGTTGTGATCCCCAGGTTGTGCCAGTCAGCTTTCGTGTGATATTGTTTCTAGCACTCACTTTTTGCTTGATATACAAGCAGTGCTTCTTGTAGGTCAGAGCACAGTCTAGGGTAACTCCCAGGTATTTGGGTGTGCTGCAATTGTCCAGTGGGATTCCTTCCCAGGTAATCCTGAGAGCTCGAGATGCTTGTCTGCTCTTAAGGTGAAAAGCACACGTCTGCATTTTAGGTGGATTAGAAATCAGCTGGTCTTCCCAGTAACAGTAAGAGCACCTAAAGCTTCGGAGAGCTTCTGTTCAACCATTTCAAAGCTCCCTGCTTGGGCAGTAATGGCACAATCGTCAGCATAGATTAAACTCTCTGTCCCTTCTGGCAGTGGCTGGTCATTTGTGTAAACGTTAAACATTGATGGACATTAATCTCATTGAATTCAGTGGGGCTTTCTCCCAGGGAAAGCATACAGACGGTTGCAGCCCTTAGACAAAGATCCTATTAACCTTCATCTAAACAATCTGATGGTAAGAGCTGTTTCACAGTGGAACATGCTCCCTTGGAGTGTGGTGGTTTCCTTCTCTGGATGTTTTTAAATCGAGGTTAGATGGCCATATATTGGGAGTACTTTGTGTATTGCACGGCAGGGGGGTTGGATTGAATGACCCTTGTGATCTCTTCCAACTCCAGGACTATATGATTGCATAGATTTTGTGTCACTATAGGAGATGGCAGCAAAGTTAAAATTGACGCAGGTGTGTTGCATGACTGAGAAGGGGGATATTACTTTTTCCTCTGCCACTGCTATGCAGAATTCAGAAAGGTGCCTTAATGTCCACCCAGTGGAGCATTATATCAGTTTGAATCACAACAGTTTTTGTCCCCAGAGTAGTTAAGGATTTTCAGTAACCTAACTGGGAGTTGCTTTCGTGTTAACAAGTTTAGAATTATGATGGTAAGTGATCCATTTTTAGGTCGCCCGGTGGCGCAGTGGGTTAAAGCACTGAACTGCTGAACTTCCTGACCGAAAGGTTGGTGGTTCAAATCCAGGGAGCAGGGTGAGCTCCCATTGTTAGGCCTAGCTTCATGCCAACTAGCAGTTCGAAAACATGCAAATGTGATTAGATCAATGGATACCACTTCTGTGGGAAGGTAACGGTGCTCCAGTCATGCTGGCCACAAGACCTTGGAGGTGTCTACAGACAACGCTGGCTCTTTGGTTTAGAAATGGAGATAAGCACCAATTCCCAGAGTTGGACACTAGATTTAATGTCAGGGGAAACCTTTACCTTTACCACCATTTTAAAATCACTTCTGCTGAGTCTGAATTGAATTTCTAGGTATGTTGAAATTGATGAAATGCTCAATCCATTTCAAGTAAACTGCCAAGTGTGAGAACCCAACATGATTCTGGTGGTTATTCATATTTGTGTATGCTAGAATTGAACAGAAAGACATTATACGTAAGTGCCTACTTTCCTTGTGATATTATAACTTCCAGCTGACTAAACAGTTTCTCGGGTGGTTAACCTTAGTAGGCATACTTAAACTGAGATGGAAATTTTGCAGACTTTCAGATGCTATTGGACTGCAAGTCGCTGGAAAGCTGGTGGCGTGAGAGCAGGGAGTGGAAATTTAACAGCAGCTGGAGGTGACAAACAAAACTTCCAGAAATTCCAGCCAGTTTATCAGCTGTTAGGATTTCTGGGAGTTGAAGGCCAAAACATCTGAGGACCCACACGTTGAGAACCACTGCCTAACACTTGATCTCCTTTTGCCTAGTACGTGCCATGATGAAAGAAGGTCCCACCTTCCATTATGGCAGCTCCCTGGCTCCAATTTTCTATGTAAACAAGTTCTGCAGTGCCCAGTTCCTATCTATCTATCTATCTATCTATCTATCTATCTATCTATCTATCTATCTATCTATCTATCTATCTATCTATCTATCTATCTATCTATCCACTCTGCCTATGATTAGTTGCAGGGCAAATGTACGTAGAGATTTACCCTTGAGTGATGCATGTTTAAGACCTGCTGCAAACAGAAACTAAAATACATGCCTTACATTCCATGTTTCAGTTCTATTGATTCCCCTTCAGATTCAACCCAGCAGTTAGCTATACTATTTATCACATTTACGAGCTTTGACTTCAGAGACACAAAACTGTACATGGCTATCAGCTAGGCTTGCTTTGAAGTTCTGTACATGTAATGGGTATGTTTTGTATCTCCCACCTTCCCCAATGAGTTTGGCAATATCTAATTTGTCTATATGTTAAGTAGCTTGCTTACATAAAGATACAGCTGCAATACAGAGTAGGAAAGGAAAAACATCTCACTGAGAAATCTTAAGACCAATGCCAGTGGTTGAAGACTTGAACACAGAGATGGGCAACAATGACTCGTCTGCTGAATTAATTCTGCCATCTAGATGGCCTGTAGCATATTCCTCATGGTCAGGCTGGTGATGACGCAAAGCAAGAGAACACAAACGTAAGTAGTTCAAACAGCTCAACGTTTATTTTACAAGGCAAATGCCTCATCATACTGAGGTTTATAAAGGTTACATTTTTGTGCAATGGTTCTTGCCGTGTCCATTGCCTGCAATGGACTTGATATGCTTCCATCATGTGGACAGACATGAGGCTTGTCACACGGAGCCACAGCACTGAGACCATTTGTTTATCCATTCAAGTTAAGTCAAAGCATGTCCAACATGATGAACTGATGCAGAAACTGTCAAACATTAGTCACGTACTTTTGAAAAACAAACTATCGAACATCAAACCCCCTGTTTTGTAACCTAGCATAATGGGTACCAATTCCTGTAATTGTTTTTTTTTCCAGACAAAGCTTTTTAAAATATTTTAAAGCAAAATGAAAGTAGGGCAGAGTGTGAGTTTGGTGTCAATGCGTTGTATTTTACAAGCCAAGAGCTGTTTTGCTTTTAATTCCAGTTCATCTAGGACCATCCATTAGTCAGTGGACTCTCCTCAAGAGAGTCTATAGCAGGCATGGGCCAACTTGGGCCCTCCATGTGTTTTGGACTTCAACTCCCACAATTCCTAACAGCCTGAGGCCCTTTCCTTTTTCCACCCCAGCCGCTTAAGCGGCTGGGGTGGAAAAAGGAAAGGGCCTCAGGCTGTTAGGAATTGTGGGAGTTGAAGTCCAAAACACATGGAGGGCCCAAGCTGGCCCATGCTTTGTCTATGCACATGCTTACAATGGCTAAAGCATAATCGCAATAGTCAAAAAGTATCTGCTCTGAAGCAGGTCTGTGGAAGCCAACAGAAGGGAACAACTTGCAAATAAATGGCACACACAAGCCATGTGTCATGTTCAGTTGGGTATTCAGGTAACACCCTCAGTTTGCAATGCCTTAGGCAAGCAGGCAACCTAGCAAGGTGGTTTTATCAAATGAGTCCAAACAGAGCTACAGGACTGCATTGAACTAACGGGGCTCCAACCTGTATATGACTGTTTTAACGGTTTAAAAGTGCTTTGACGGTTGATGGCCTTCCAGGAATTCATACATAACCAGAAACAGAATTTCAAATCAACCTGAAATAGGATGCTACATATACATCAGATCAAAGCAACTCCTGTTATTGTACTGTCCAGCACAAACATGAAAGACTTCAGGAGCAAACTATTCCAGGAACGATCCATTCTTAGGCTGAGCTTTTGAAAAGTTCCTTGGAGGCTGAACATGCAAAACCTGCTCTTGGATAACCTTGCACTTCAAGAGTGGGGACAGGCTCCTTTAGCTTTGCTAGTACTGCAAAATGGACTTTATGTCATTGAGGAATGGGAAGAAAAGTAGTTCTTAAGACACAAACTGAAATCCCAATTGTCAATGGTCACCGGCCTCCACTTTTTTTTCCAACTAGGTTTGAACTAGTAATACCAATTGGAAAATAATTCTCCAGTTAATAGCACCTTGAAAAACAAATCAACTGCACCTTCCCCACACCGATGGGGTTTTTTGAGGGATAGAATTAAGTTTATATTTAAGAGACAGGGTGCTTAGATTGTTAAGGCACATAGGACCCTAACTTTGAAGACTGACACACACTCATGACTTTAGGTCACATCAACTTCTTTCAATAATAGCTTGAGAAAGAAGTCATACTTCTTTGCTGAACAATAATTTCACAACATTTGCAGAGATCTTAAAATGTTAAAATGAGGTTTGGGGGAAGGAAAAATACCATTGATGGTTTCCCGAGTCTAAATTAAAGTACCTAGTTCTGAACCTTGACTGTTTATAAACAAACTACCTTTCCCAGAAAGCACTCTTGTAGTAATTTCTGTTCCAGGAAGCACAAGCACTTTTTAGTGTTATGAAAACTACATGTCAACAAACCGCATCAAAAGACAGAGCCTCAAGAGTAACAGTTTCTCATGCTCTAATTAAGCAGTACTGTACAGCAAAAGGTGAGAAATATTTAATCCTGTGTACATCCCCACCTCTCCCCTAATCTTTTCAACTTCCACCTCACAGAGGTGTCTTAATGCTCTCCATTGGAAAGGGAAACAGCAACTGCTTCGGAGTCTGCTTTTCCAGGAATTCTGGGTACTTTCTTAGCAGGGCTGGGGATGTGCTGAGAGAAGAAAAAGCAAAGCCACAGATCAGAACACATTGAAAGGGACACAGGTGCCAGTTACGTCAATTTTGAGTGTTCCCAGTTCTTCTTAAAACAAACGTTAGGCATGAGGGAACAAAAACTCAGTCTTAATTTCTTGGCCCAGACAATTCTCCATTAAAATCTACTGCTCAGTGAACGAGTCACCCTAATCAGACTTCAGGAAGTATTCATAACCAAAGAAAGCATGAATACTTCTAGAATTCCAGAATTTTCACCTGAGCAGTTGTTTATTTATTTATTTGTTTACTATATTTGTATACCGCTCTTCTCAGCTCTTGGGTGACTCAGAGTGGTTCAAAGCTTGTCAGGCTACATTTTTTCTTTCAAAAATTTTCAGGTTTGACTCCCCCACTCCCCCATTGGCTAGGTTATGAATGGATAATTATCCGAAATTGACAAATTAGTGAATAAAGAAAAATCAAAACAGCGGGTAAGAAATATTATTATTATTATCAATGTCCCAGATTTATAGTATATTAATAACATTGAACAATACCGATTTCAGTATCTTTTAACTGCAGTAAGCAAAAGCAACTGGGCATGTTTTCAATTTAACATAGAAGTAAAGATGTACCATGATGTATTCCAAACATAATAGAGGCCAGTCCATTACAATTATAGATAGTATATGATGCCACAAAGCTAAATTGGATTTATAGGGTAATTTTTTTGTGTCAGGAGCAACTTGAAAAACCACAAGTCGCTTCTGGTGTGAGAGAATTGACTGTCTGCAAGGACATTGCCCAAGGGACACCCGGATGTTTTGCCATCCTGTGGGAGGTTTCTCTCATGTCCCCACATGGGAAGCTGGAGCTGACAGACAGGAACTCACCCTGCTCCCCAGATTTGAACCACCGACCTTTTGGTCAGCATTCCTGCCAGCACAAGGGCTTAACCCATTGCGCTTCTGGGGGCTCCTTATAGGGTAAATACTTTTACCAGAGAAAATATTCCTTGCTTAATGCATGTTTTCGTAGCAGTTCAATAGATTAGAACAAAACTGTTGTTACTTATGTGATTTCAAATGTAGGACTGATATAAGAGGTTAATGTAAAAGAATGACTTTTGGTTAATCAATTTTAGAAGACATTGTGAATGTGAGTCATTGAATGTTGGGCACAGCGCAAGAGCAGAAAGAATTGCAGAAATGAAGGAGTGCCCATGTTATATAAGCTCAGGAAAAGAGAGATTTGTATGATTTGGTAAGGGTTGCTGAAAAGTAACTTACTGGAAGAGCAAATCTAGACATACTCCACTACATGCGCTTAATAGTCTGTAATTTATTTTTGCGACAAAGAAAAATAAAAAAAGGAAAGGTTAGAAAAGGATCAACTCTTCCATGGGTCTGATTCACACATAGGGAACAGGAGACCGTGATTAAGGAACTGGGGACACATCAAAGATTTATTCTTTCTTTTTGAGATAATGTTCCATCTTCTCTCCCATACACACCCCAACTTTAGTTAAATACACAGCACTGATGCTATCTAAGTGTGAAGCTCACCTATTTCTCTGCATGAGGTGAAAAACAGTGTGTGTCATTTGACATTCTGGTCTCAGTGTCTTATAATGAAATTAGGAGCAGCCATTCTATGTGTGCATTGGCCCCTGGGTATTATGAAGGGGAATGGATGGGCATGACACTTACCTCATGAGCAAGGCCCATGTGAACAACGTCCACTCCTGCTTCCAATGGCCCATCGCCCAGGATCGGGCGACGGGCGTACGTTCTCCTGTGTTTCTCATCCACTCGCACCAAATACCAAGTTCCCTCGTACAGATCATCCACAGAACATTTTGGGATATAATTAGCTGTAAGAATGAGAAAAGCCAGATCCTCTCAAGAAAGAGTTGGTTCCTAATATTACCACAAGCTCCTTAGATATCTGTCCCAACACACCAAATCATTTTTGAAGATCTGATCATTATTATCTTGAGAAAATGTTACTAGACATTCTGTATTGGTGATTGTTTATTAGTTATTAATGGAAATGTGTAATTTAATTGTCATTGTTTATTAACTACTGCTGTTTTTATTGTCTTTGCTGTTTGGAAACCGCTGTGAGTCGCCCTCGGGCTTGAGATACAGCGGTATACAAGAATAGTAAATAAATAAAATAAATAATAAATAGACTCTGAAATAACTGGTGTCACAATAAAGCATACAAAAGGGAGGAAAAGTCATGCCTTCAAAGTAATGTGGAGTCTCATTTATTCCTCTGCCAGCTACTCTCCCAATGGCAGGAACATACATCTCATTGCATAATTACAGAAGTGCAATAATATCCTCATACCTTCCAATTTTGTCTTATACATCCAACAAATATGCTCAGCTATGAAAATCCACTGAGGGACCTTTGGCAGAGGAAACCTTGCCAAGCGGACCCTAGGAAAACTTCACTTTGTGATTAGTATAAGTTGAGGTAAGTTGGGTTAGAAAGTTTCATTATTATATTATATTGAGAAGTGGCTTGAATGCAGCCAACAACAAAGATGTTCAGGTCCCAGAGGAAGCAATTCAGCTGAAGGCAAGATCCAGAATATCACATTTATATTCAGTATAAGATTTACCATTCTTTGTTGCTTAACAGATTTCTGTGTTGCTGTGAGTTTACCGGTCTGTATGACCATTTTCCAGAAGCATTCTCTCCTGACATTTCACCCACATCTAGGGCAGACATCCTCAGAGGTTGAGGGATCTGTTGGAAACTAGGCAAGTGAGATTTATATATCTGTGGAATGTCCAGGGTGGGAGAAAAACTCTTGTCTGCTTGATGCAAGTGTGAAGGTTACAAATGGCCACCTTGATTAGTACTTAGTGGCCTTGCAGCTTCAAAGCCTGGCTGCCTGCTGCCTGGGGGATCCTTTGTTGGGAGATGTTAGCTGCCCCTGATTGATTCTTGCTTGGAATTCCCTTGTTTTTTGAGTGTTGTTCTTTATTTACTGTCCTGATTTTATAGTTTTTTTTTAATGCTGGTAGCCAGGTTTTGTTCATTTTCATGGTTTCCTGCTTACTGGTGAAACTGTCTACATGTTTGTGGATTTCAATGGCTTTTCTCTATAGTCTGACATGGTAGTTGTTAGAGTGGTCCAGCATTTCTGTGTTCTCATATAGTATGCAGACAAGACTCAATCAGGGTCAGCTAACACCTCCCAACAAAGGATCCCTAGGCAGCAACCAGTCAGGCTTTGAAGCTGCAAGGCCATTAAATGCTAATCAAGGTGAGCAATTGCAACATTCACATCTGCCTCAAGCAGACAAGAGTTCTTTCTTCCACCCTGGACCTTCCACAGATATATAAACCTTACTTGCCTAGCTTTCAACACATATCTTATCTGTGCAGAAAACACTTAAAACAATATAATTAAAACGAAGAACAATTTTACCGAATATAAACTTGTTAGTATTTCAATAGGAAGTGTGGGCCTGCTTTTGGCTGATGAGATAGGATTATTGTCGTTGTTGTGTCCTTTCAAGTCATTTCAGACTTAGGTTGACCCTGAGCAAGGGCCGGGTAAATTACCTTGGAGAGCCGTATCCGGCCCCTGGGCCTTAGTTTGAGGACCCCTGCCATAACAGATTTCATAGCACTGCCACCACTCACCTAAATGATGAGTCTCTTGTCTAAGCATCATGTTTTCTGCAAATACTTCCGGTGGGATACGTTTCCTTGAATCAAGCCTTGCTTTCAAATCAGACAAAGTTGCTGTTATTTTATCCAAGGAAGAGCCTGCAGTATAAAACAGTAATTTTTAGAAACCTGACTGAATATTATGCTGAAATAATAATTAGACAATTGGAAATTAAAAATAGGCAAGACAACATATTGATTTCCTCGTCCCACCATAAAGCTAAATAACTACATCAGCATAAACGTTGCACAATACCGCATTCAACATTACAACAAAACCAAGTATCTCCATTACAACCAATACTGTACTCCAGCAAAGTTATGAAATTAATGCACAACTCATTTGACAGCAAGCTATAAAGTGTAGGAGGTTATCAATTCCTGCCTCCCTCATGTTTCAAGGACCATGATCATAACTGTGCCCATGTTTATTTCTTTAGTTTGTGGCCTGGCACTGGTCATTGCACCACTCCTTTAAATAGCCCCCCCCCCCCGCCCGCCCGCCCAGAACGTTACAGTCTTAACTTGGCTATTTAGATGGGAAATCTGTGCCTTTCCAGATATTTATTTATTTATTATTTACTGTATTTATACCCCACCTTTCTCACTCCCGAAGAGGGACTCAGGGTGGGTTGCAAACTATGGCATTAATTCAAAGCCAGATTCAGACAGTAACAATAGCAGTAAACACAATATTGCATTCAAAGTCCCATCAGCTCCAGTTAATATTCAGGGATGCTGAGAATCCTATCTAAATAAGAACTATAGAAGCATATGCTCCCCACTTCTAAACAGTTTGTATGTCTATTCTTCAGATTTTGCCCAGAAGACAATATTATTAAATTGACACTTTAAAGTTGTGAATTCAAGGACATGATGCAACTAAGGATTACAGTTGTTAAAACTGGTATTTCTGTATCTTGGGCAATCCCTTTTTCTACAGGTTAAAATCCCAGGTTATTACAGAAACACTGAAGACGGTGCATGACTGCATTCCTTTCAGCTAGCATTTCTCTGATCGCTTTTGAACAAAGACATATTCTGTACTGTGAGAAGGAAGAAGAAAAAAACAACCATCCGAGGGGAATAAAAATTATTCTAATTTGTCTTACTACACAAAGCAGGAAAGAGGTAAGACTGTCCTACATTCTGAACTATGCAAGTCTTACTCAGCCACTCCATCATGACTGTCAGAAATATCATATGCTCATACACATTCATATCTCTAACTTGGTAGCTATACTGCCCAGATACTCTAGAAAACCACGATTTTCAGAATGCTGAATTCTGTGATACTACACGGAATCAGAAAAAACAAAGGGCATGAATGAGTTCAATCAAAACTCTCCATTCTTTGATTTGTGTGGAATTCCAAAAGATATTAAACAACAATGAATCTGTGATTCCATAACTGCCAAAGCATGATTGTGTTTTTATTATCAAGGATTGTACTCACCAGGAGTTGCATCTTGGCTAACCTTGATTGAGTAGAGGGTAGCAGCAAATCCTGAACCATAAGAGAAAACTCCAATTCTCTGACCTGCCAGCTGCTGAGGAGAGTACCTGGAGGCCAGAGGGCAAGATGTGAATCAAGGGTACATTAAAGAAGACTGTTCCTAATATTTTTATGTAAAATTATGTTTGCTCCAGGCAACAGTTCCTATTAGATGAATTAAGGCACACAGAATGTTCTCTTTTAATTTGTTTTTCATCCTCAATGCCAGTAATGAGATGTTCTCAGCATGCACTGCCTGAAGGCCCTTTCCCTTCTTTTTATTTCAAAATACAGAACTAGCCATCTCCAGTCAAAGAAGATTTTAGAAGTTATTCTGTTTCAAGCTGGAATTATTGGCATTATCAACTCTTTTTCAGCTACAAACCCTAAATGTGCACAGTTGATTTTGTGGTGAAATTTATTCACAGAAACTATACATCTGGGAATGTACAACCTGTGACCTGCATATAAGCCCTTTGGGAATCTCCACTACTATCCACACAGAAATGATAAGGAGCCTTGCCTTAATGAAGAGCCTGGGAGGATTTTCTCCATGATCCACACCTTCTCTGTGGTCCATGCACAAATGCTCAGGGCACTTGTGGGACACCCATATGCCAACATTTATGGTTTCTCTCCTACAGCTCACAGCGGTCCATAAGAGGAACTCTCCCTGCATCTCCACTGGCAACCTGGGGAAGGGTCCTTCCTTTCAGCCTACAGAAACATCTATTCACCTCCCATAATTGCCTTTCCCGTCTACCCCACCTCATATATTGGTAGTTAATATTTACAAGGCTATTGCCGGTTTCACTTACTGAGCTAGGAGGGAAGCAAGGCAGCCATAGACTGAAGGTGTGTACATATTTCCATTTTGATTAGAAACAAGCAAGGAAGCTTTTGTTTTTTGGTTGAAGAGCTCAGCACTGGCCTTCATAAAAGCTTTCTCCACATCTCGATCAAAGTATGTGTCCTCTAGTTTTACATCTCTGAAAATGAGAAATGTTGAATTTATTGCTTTTTTACAGTAAGAGAATGGTAGACATGTAGACAATGAGAAACCAACATCTGCTCTCTCTTCCATGCAATATCTTATATTTCCAGGTTCTTAAAGGTATCAAGATTATGCTACCCAAGAAAATAAAGCCCCCTTCCTTTAGTTACAGTACTTCAGTACTACAGTACTTTGACAAGGCTAATTAATCACATCAACAAGAATCAAATGTTTTCTGTCCACAAATTCTGCAGGTTAACATTTTGAGTCCAAGTCTTGAGTTGTTTTAAGAGCCTGGTTTATACTCAGGTTTTTAACTATATTATACCAGTTGAGAGAAAACAAGAAACCAAAGTTAACTAAGGACTTCCATGTTGTATTCACGTGCAAAATGATTGGGAAAATGTGTCTGCATGAATGAGTCAAATTCTCATTCCCACCTCAGCCTACTGTGCAGACAGAATCAGAGTTGGGCAAGACCACATGGACTATCTCGTCCAACTCCCGCCACACAGGAAAAGCACAATTAAAATACTCCCAGCAGGTGGCATTTATTATTTTAAGTGTATTTTAATATAAATTTAAAATAATATTACAAGTCAGTTATCCCTTATTAACACGATTATAATTGTGATAATTCTGGGGGAAACCTATGTCATATTTTTCTCAGTTTTCCAATACACTTTTTGCAAAGGATAAATCTTTCAAAGTATCTCAGGTATTTCTTTTTTAAAATCAAGTATTTCTTAAGTATAAAAGGAAAAACTAAAGAAAAAACCAGATGAACTTATCAGCACTTTCTATTTCTCTCTCACTTTCATAGTGCCTTTTTAATTTAAGCCTGGAATTTATTAATCTTACCCAAAAGCTTCAAGTCCATTGTAGATACCATTTTCATTTATATGTGTCTTGTCGGCAAGAAAGTCATTCAGCAACAGACGAGCTACAGATTTCTGTACAAGTTTGCAGTATGGAGAATGAAAAATTATGAAGCCAAAGTCATTCAGATTGAATTCTTTGTCAGTTCCCTCTAGGAAAAAAGAAGAAGAAAAAGACATTGATGATATGCTGCCTAAAATGGCATATTAAACATGCATTTAGAAAAGCTAAATATTGTAACTCATGATTTGTGAGAATCTGTAGACCATTTTAATGCCTAGAGATATATACCATTTACATGCTATGCTGCCAAGAACATCTCTCCTCTTTTAATATGGCAGTATGCAGACATACTGGTCATGACTCTAAGATTAGAAAATTTCCAATACACAAACTTTTCTCATATTTCTGTGTACTTTTACTTCTGCAAGAGTTTCCTTTTACTTTGAATCTGTAAGGAGAGTAGATCTTAAACAAAGAATTAGTTCTGAGTTCGGATCAATTAATTACTTACCAGTTAATGTTTTGATTTTGTGCTCTGACTCCTCCTATCCCTTGCATCCTTTTATTTGCCAATGTAATTATTTTGGTATGGCACAAGTCATCTATTTACAGTGGTATTTGCTACTATAGCCATACTGTTACATGCTGCTTCCTTCTCTCAACCATTATTTCCTTTCAAAAGCTCACAGGATGCATAAAACATTAAAATAAACCTCTCAAGCCTGTTTTAAGAACATCCTCCTTCTCGCGACTCATTAAATCTTTTAAAATTCACCCTCTTTAAAAACAACCCTATCATCATTGAACAGGTTCAGTATGATATAACTCTGTGCCGCAGGTATGAAGGACTGAATAATGCATTATAGGGCGTTTATTAAAGATATTCTGCTCTCCTAAATAAAACAAAGTATATAGTCCTGCGAAAAACACAGACAAATGCTATTTCCCACATGAAATAGAAAAGGTTTAGAATATAAACAAGGAAGCGCTTAGTTCTGCAACAGTATTGTCAAGGAAGGCATACCTTTTTGCCACTGAGCCCGGATCTTCTTGCGATACACAGAGTAGCAGCGATCCAATGCACTGAGGTAGCATTGTATGGATAATTTCCCATCAACCACAGGATATTCAGATACCATATCAGGCTTATAGAAGTCATAGGCATGCTGCATGTGGGTCCCACGCAATCCTGCCGAAAAGAACACAGACTTGAAGGACATGGACAGAGTCTGGAGTCCATTAACAAGCTTCATTCCTCATCTCAAGGTAATGTCTGCAGAACAACAAGTGAATGCTGAGATGTGAGAAGAGAAGTGCTTCATTTTTAATAGACTTGCGGGGGGGAAGGACAGGAATCTGGACAGCCAGCTCTCTTGAAGAAACTGCTGCCTGCACAAGCACTTTGCTGCATATTTCTGTGTTCAAGATCCTAGCTTTTAGTTCTGTTAATGGAAAAATTACTATTCTTTTCCTCCTGACAAACAGTGAAGAACAGCTTTAATCTTGTAGTACCTTTCAAGGGAGAATACACTTTCCCACTACTATCTCATCCAGGGTTTTATTATGTTTTTATCCTGTGCATTTGGCCCGTCCATTGTGTTCTAGCTCTTCATTATGTTATTTTGCAACTGTTTATTTTATTTTGTTACTTCATGTATCTTATTTTGATGTAATTTTTGTTTCTTTGTATTTTATTTTGCTGTAATGTATTTTTGGGCTTGGCCTCATGTTAGCCGTCCCGAGTCCCCTTTGGGCAGATGGTGGCAGGGTATAAATAAAGATTATTATTATTATTGCTACCAAAAAATTGATAAGATTGAATCTGTGTCAGAACTAACAATATAAAGAAGCCAACACTAACCTCTCTCAAAAATAAGAGGTGCATTTGGACCCACAAGCATAGCGACAGCACCAGCTCCTCCAGTTGGTCTAGCATTTCCAGTGGCATAAACAGCAATGTCACCGGCAACGACAAGTGCATAGCGCCCTGCAAAGGAAAAAGCAATTACTCTGAAAAGACGATACTGTAAAAAGGATGCTAGGCGTTCCAGCAATAAGAATTTCTTGGTACTTTGAACAATCTTGTGAAGTACAGCTTCCTTGCTACAAATAAGGGCAAATAAACCTGAACCTGCATCAGCCATTTAATATGCTCAGTATGTGTTGTTGTTTATATTTATGCAAAATTATTATTATACAGATGCCATCTGTATAACAATTTCCAGTAACTATCTGTAAGAACAATTCTGTCTGAAAATTGTTTTAAACAGCACAAGCATACTAACAAATTCAATGTTGATGCCACTAACTCATTTGCACTTCTGCCATCAGTTTGGGAATAACACAGTTGATACGTTTGAATGCCAATATTAACAGAAAACCTTCCAAATTGGGAAAATGAGTCTTTTCAGTGGGTGATCAATAAGCCCACTATGAAGTAATGGTTTGAATCCTATCTAAATCCAACATTTTGTTCTCTAAATCAAATGGCTTTTCAAATATTTCCATTTCTCTAGCTGTTACAGTTTAAAACCTTATTGACACAATAAGTGTAAGATAGTAGGAGTTCCATTGAGATCAGATTTCACAGTTACAGTTACTGCCTGTGTTAATTTGGGAATGTAACCAACTCTACTGATGACTACCTTTTGTCGGAAAATGATCGATAACCTCTGAATTTTGTATTTTTATAACGGAATATAACAATATATTCCCTGTTCTATACATTTTAAATGTCTCTATTTGCAGAGGAGAAATACTGTTGGATGGATTTTAATACACATTTTTGGGGAGACAGAATTCTAATGAGATGCAGAGTCCTAGTCAGCAATTTATTTCATATAGGTTTCTTGCTGCCCAAAGCAGGCTTTGTCAGTCTGGTGTCATTCAACTTCCAGTCTTAGTGGTCATGCAGGTTGGGTCTGATAAAGAGCTGCAATCCAGAAAACCAGAAGAAGACATGGCAGACTAAGGGAGGAAAAACTGCAGGCAATATTAGCTGCTTCCATAGTTACGCTAACCAAGACATAGATGAATCCTGAACACCAATTCCCCTATAGTATGAATAGCAGCAGAGGGCTTTGGTGGCATTCCCCATTTCACACTTTCACCGATTCCATTTATTTCAGACTGTATAGAGCAATCAATAGCTGAGATATGAGAAGTCTATTCACACTAGGGAACAGAGTATTGCAGAAGCCTTGACATGTGTCCTGGCCTATATGGATGTTAGCTATTAAAATGTATTGCAGAAGCTCTTGAGAGCTGTCATCTAGAAAGGGCTGCCTGTGAGGACTGCACTGAGATAACGCAGCAAGTTCACTGGAGCTAATCAATCACACTTGTTTTGCAAAATTTTTAAGAGATACTCAAACGTACCATCCCAGGAACTGGATTCCACCCAGTTGATAGCATTGAAGAGTGCAGCAGTGCCTCCATAGCAGGCATTGGTTGTATCAATGCCTTCCACATCTGTGTTACCAGATTCTTCAAAGAGCTGCATCAGAACAGTCTTTACAGATTTGGATTTGTCGATGATTGTCTCTGTTCCAACTTCGAGTCTCCCAATGCAGTTATAAGAGAGACTGTTCCTCTCCATAAGCTTCTGGACTACAGTGAGGCAGAGAGAGTTGATATCCTCCCTGTCTGAGCAGAAGCCCATCCTGGACTGGCCCAAGCCAATGGTGTACTTTCCTGCATCGACCCCATCAAATTTCTCTAACTCTGCCTGATCAACATACTGGGAAGGAAAATAGATCTCCAAAGCAACTATTCCCACATCTTTTGGCCAACAGGCTTCAGCATTCACAGGAAGAGATCCAGGCATGGTGGTATAGCTGTAAGAGGAAGAAAAAGAGAAACCAATGTTTATCTAAATGGAGCAAAGGTTTATCTGCTTTATCTTATGAAAGTATACTTAAATGCAAGTACATATAAGCTGAGCAATTTGCTCGTATATGTTGAAGGGTCATGTTTTTGACAAAGCTGCTTTATTCACCAGTCCAACAACTGTTATGGCAATTGTTTATAATCATAATAATAACTTTAAGAAATGGGCCCACAAAGTGGAGTCCACAACATGCGAGTGTGGAGAAGAGCAAATCACAGACCACCTATTACAATGCAGTCTGAGCCCTGCCATATGAACAATGGAGGACCTTCTTATAGCAGCATCAGAGGCACTCCAAGTGGTCAGCTACTCCAAGTGGTCAGCTACTAGTATAAGGCCAAATTTTTAAACTTTGTATTTTTAAATACATTACAACTGTACTCTCTGTTCACTTCTGATATGATTAATAATAATAATAATAATAACAACAACAGCAACAACAAACTTTATTTATATTCTGCTCTATCTCCCCGAGGGGACTCAGGGCGGGTTCCAACATACAAAAAGGAAAACATTCAATGCCACAAGAAAACAAAATAATTCAAATAACCCAACAAAATAATACAGAATCACCCCACATATGAAAAAAACTTTAAAACCTAACATCAATAAATTAAAAAAAATTAATCAAACAGGCTTATAAAGTGACATAAAACCTAAATAAAACATCTACACTGATGTACAGAAGCTCTAAAGCAGTGGTTCTCAACCTGTAGGTCCCCACATGTTTTGGCCTTCAACTCCCGAAATCCTAACAGCTGGTAAATTGGCTGGGATGAGAACCACTGCTCTAAAAGCTTTAAATGTTTTGAACTGCTCCAAATGGAAAATATGATTTCAGAAACAGAAAGGAAATATAACAACTACAAAACAGTCTATCAGACAACACTTATCTGTGACTGAGGATTGCCAACGTTAAGAAGGCCGGTAACATAGCAGCTGAAGTAGCCACAGATAGATTTGAACTGTTTGCCATGTTATTTTCCAGCATTCAGCTGAGGTGTAGGCTAGTGTCACCTCTGCAGTAGTTAACCAGGACTATCTCCCACCAACCAGCATACAACTGACAAGATTTATAGGCTGGAAAGAGACCATCAACCTCCTTCCCTGCCACGCCAGTACCAAACAAATATAAATTATTACGTTATGTAATAATTTATTACGTCTAAAATAACCTTTCATAAATAAACGTAACTAGTCTATTGTCAGCAAGAGTATCTCTCTCTCTCCAAATACTATCTGACAAATTCCAATCAAGAAGCTAGTCATTCAGATGGGTAAAAATGTATGCAATTTTACAGCACTGACTTTTGAACTTGTAGGAACAGTCACACCCTTGCAGTCTGGAATTTCTTTTTCCTTTTGTATTTTAAAGTGTTCTACCATGTATATTGCAACAGCACTAATTGTATACTACTTAGAAAAGACTAGTAGTATATCTCCCTTATTTTTTATTGGCAGCTGTGTCCAGAAAGAAGAGGAAGCACTCTTAAGCTAGAAAAAAAAAGAGATCCAATCTTTGCTATGTAAATAGAAGCATTTATTGTCGAAGGCTTTCATGGCCGGAATCACTGGGTTATTGTAGGTTTTTCGGGTTGTATGGCCATGTTCTAGAAGAATTCTCTCCTGATGTTTTGCTTGCATCTGTGGCAAGCATCCTCGGAGGTTGTGAGGTCTGTTGGAAGCTAGGAAAATTGGGTTTATATATCTGTGGAAGGTCCAGGGTGGGAGAAAGAACTCTTGTCTATTGGAGCTAGGTGTGAATGTTTCAATTGGCCACTTTGAAGTTATGACCGAATTTGTTCTGTCATAACTTACAATGAAGTAACCTTTTGACCTTGAACAGAAGAGCAGACAGCAATTAAAAACTATCTTGCATGAAAGCAGACATGGAAATACTTTATTTTAAGTAGATGGACCACATAAATGCTTTATAAAATTATTCTATTCTAGGTAATAGAAACCCTGGCAAGTGATGAAGAACATACTAACCAAAACATTTTACCATGCAATTTTAATAGATAACAATACTATTACTGCAATAGAATATTTTGCATGCTGTTAGGAATTTAATCATACACTGTGCTCCAAATTCAGGACAGGCATAGGGAGGAACATCTTTACACAACACATAATTAACTTACAGAACTCAATGTCATTAAGATGTGTCTATGAACATAGACTTAAAATGCCTTTAAAAGGAGATCTGCAGAAGCCAATGCAGTTTGGGATCTCCACAAAGGTTGGCTTCTAATAAGAATGAAGAGATTTTTTTAAAAAAAAATAGCTTGCATCAGTTATTTTTATTTTTGCATCTATAAAACAGAAGTCCTAAGTTGCTTTTCACTTCACTTTATTTCTTAATTAGTCGTTCTCCACCAAGGTGCTCCAAGCGACTTACAAACTAAAATAGCATTTACACAATATAAAAACATTCAACATAAAAACATTCAACAGTGACTATTGTTAGATCTGATTACTTAAATGCACAACCAAACAGCCAAGTCTGGAGTGCCTTTACTAAAGGTCGCAACTCTGACATTGCTCAAATGTATGGAGGCAATGAGTTCCACAGAACTGGAGCATAGGTCGAAAAAGCTCTACGCCTTGTAGCTTCCAGGTGTACCTCCCTAGGGCCTGGTATGTATAGGAGATTTTCCTGGGTGGATCGAGGTGACCACTGATAGAGAAAAGGAATGAGGCGGTCCCTAAGATATAAAGGTCCTTGGCCATTTTGAGCTCTAAATGTCAGGATCAGTATCATGTAAGAGATCCGATGTTCTATTGGTAGCCAATGAAGTTGTTGCAGAATCGGTGTAATATGGGATCTTTTTATCATATATTTGTTCCCATGATGCCTTTGGCTTGCTTGTTTGGGCAATGCATGGAATGTGTCAACACAACCTTCACAGTCAGTTAAAGATTAGACAAAAACTTACACATGGTCACAAAACAGAGTATCTGTGAAAACGACTACATTATCATCTGACCAAGCTCTCTCTTTTTTCTTGGCGAGTAGCTTACCAGACTCCTGCCCCTCAGTCACCTTTGTTACTGATAATTTGAAGGATGGTAAAAATCTATGTTCTGACATCAAACATTATGTCCACACTGTGGAACGAACACAGTTTAATGGCCATGGCTCAATTCTTTGCGACTCTGGGAGTTCTAGCTTTGCAACTATTTTGCCTTCTCTGCCTCGAAATGCAAACTACAACTCTCAGGACTCTGGGATGAAGTTTGGCATTGCTTTTGTTGTCAATGCTCAATTCTATGCAATCCTGGGAGCTCTAGTTTTGCAACTCTTTCTCTTCCCCAAAATTCAGACTACAACTCCAAGGTCTGCCCCTTTCCCCCTTGATTTGGGTGCTCCAAAACAGTGAGAACAAACCTAGAAAACATTAACACTCTATAAGAGATAAAAGTGCCATCATAATAAGGTGAAACCAGTTCCAAACAACAATAATGCTCCCAAACATTGTGTACAGCCTGTAAAATCATTTAATATTTGTATATTTGCTTAATACTTTTTGCATATTTGTTTTAAATTGCGTGGTTTTACTTTTAATTATAAACCACTTTGAGTCTCCTTCAGGAGAGATAAATATCATTATGTATAAACAAACATAATATTATGTTGTCAAAGGCTTTCATGGCGGCATCAATGGGTCACTGAGTTTTCCGGGCTGTATGGCCATGTTCCAGAAGCATTACCTCCTGACATTTCATCTATGGCAGGCATCCTCAGACGTTGTGAGGTCTGTTGGAAACCAGGCAAGTGAGGTTTATCTATCTGTGGAATCTCTTTCTCCCACATTGGACATTCCACGTAAACCTCACTTGCCTAGTTTCCAACAGACCCCACAACCTCTGAGGATGCCTGCCTTAGATGTGGGCGAAAAGTCAGGAGAGAATGCTTCTGGAGCATGGCCATACAGCCCTGAAAACCCACAGAAACCCAATAATAATAACAACATTACCTTGAACAGCTCCGCCAGTGATCAAAACGCCTGATAACAGAACAAAACAAAGTACCAAGCTTCTTTTTTTGCCTGATAAGGCAACCGAAACCTCTCCCTGTTCACACATTTGGCAATTATCTCACATTTGACCTTACTAATTATGTAGGAATGCTCTACACCCTGAGGAAACAACTGTATACAAAAATAATCTCAGCCATCAGATCAATTAAACTATAGGACAAAGTTGCTAGAATACCCCACTGAACTTTATGTTGTTGTGTAGGCCTGGGCCAACTTGGGCCCTCCAGGTGTTTTGGACTCCAACTCCCACAATTCCTAACAGCCTATCGGCTGTTAGGAATTGTGGGAGTTGGGAGTCCAAAACACCTAGAGGGCCCAAGTTGGCCCAGGCCTGATTTAGCCTGTGTTTGAATTCGTGACTGGCTTGCCTTCTTAACATTCAACCAGCTTCTTGCCTTGCTTCTTCTCCTACACAGAAAAGCCTGGCTACTTTAGCCCTAGGACTCTAGAAAATGTCTAGGCCTTTCACTCACACGCAGCGGAATCCCATCCCCGGCTCTGGAAGGCATCGGAGAAATGCGCATGCGTACACACACCATGCCTCCCCGGCTGTCACCTTGAAAACACGGAGACCGCGCATGCGCTTTACTCTTTCCTAGCCATGCCCACTTCCTGCCTTCTTTCCTTCCTTGTGAATTGAAAAAGGGGCGTTCCCATCCCTCGCTATTGGGGCGCGCGCGCTCTAGGTCTTCCTGCAGAGCGTGCAGAGCAATCCCTCCCCCGGCTTCCCAGCACCACTTCCAACTACTAATATGGCTCAATGCTATAGGGCCCTGAGATTTGTAGTTTTGCAAGGTATATTGACTTCTCACCAAATTACAATCCCCCTGCTAATATGGCTCAATGCTATAGGGTCCTGAGATTGGTAGTTTTGCAAGGTATGTAGACTTCTCACCAAACTACA